ACGGGGGGGGGGGGGGGGTGACATGCAGCAAAGGGCCGTGGGTCGGAGTCGAAGCGTTGGTGCTTAGGACTGAGCCCATCTGGTGCACGCTCGACGGAGGATTTTCCCGCCCTTACTTAGTCTCTTGGTTTTAACAGTCGAACCGTTCGCTGTTTGAACCGAGCTGAAACACAAAACTTACTTTTAACAGTGTTATCCTCAGACTCTCTGTCCGGGGTTGTTTGCTTTCGTTACTGGCGTGCGGTGAATCTTGGGATATGTCGGATCCACCTGTTGGATCCTTCGTTGTCCAGGAAAAGAAGGAGCCTTTGAAATGGGACAGTGTAGTTGTCGGACTTCAGACGCGGCCTCTGAAGGACGTGGTCCCTGAGTGGAGACACAGCTGTAGTGTGCAGGATCCTTCCTCGTTGACTGAGGCTGGTGAGACGGAGGGGGAGGGAAACCCAGAAGTGGATATTTGTACATGATGCATCAGCTCTGTGCTGTTTAAAACAAACCGCTGATGACGCTGCTGCCTGAGGAGTCATTGTAGAGTCACATGACACAGATGAATGCATGAGGAAGGAGCCGGTGACTGTGGGTGCTGTGGTGTGTTCCCCATGAAAGAATAGACGTCCGTATCCACAGTGACGGATGGTTCGGCTCGCATCATTTCCTCCACCAGTCATCACTTACGCAGAATAAGAGTTTGACGACTGTCTCTAAGGACTCCGCCCTTGAGCCAGACCTCCAGACTCCATTAAAAAGTTACACACAGACAGAAGAGGAACGTCTGCCAAAAAAAACAAAAACAAAAACATAACCATTGCATTGCAGACAGAAGCTGTCCTCGTCCTCTCCTCTGTAAATACTCCCAGACCGAGGCGGCGTGCTCCCTGGGGAAAGCTTGCTCTGTCCCTCGTCCTGCATGTTCTGCTTTGTTGTGATGAGGCAGCCTCAGTGTATGTGTGTTGTGCCCCCCCCCCCACCACACACACAAACACACACACACACACACACCTCACCCCTCCCTCCCCGCTCGCCACTTGTTGAACAAGATGACACTTCTGATAAAGTGTCAGGCCTCTTCTCTGCACCGCTGTGCTGCGCTGACCTATCCAAGCTGCCGCCGTGTCACATTTGGGCGATGAAGGTGTGATTACCACTGACCGCCCACTGTGGGCCAGAGGAAGTGTGTGTGTGTGTGTGTGTGTGTGTGTGTGTGTGTGTGTGTGTGTGTGTGTGTGAGGGAATGCTGGGAGATAACCTTCAGTGTGTCAGCAGTGCGGGCCTCCTTGCTCTCTAGACAGATTGCGTTGCTAAGGGAACTGTTGCTAGGATGGCAGTTGCACCTCTCTCTCCTGCTTTATCCCCCCCCCTCTCTGTCTCTCTCTCTCTCTCTCTCTCTTCCCACGTGTCTATTGAGTGTAATCCTTGCACCTAACACAAGCTGAGCGACGCTCCTCACAGAAAACCCCTCAGGCTGCAGGAGCAAACTCGGCCTTTAAGTCGCACCTCTCCCCACGACCGGTCACATGACCAGCTCTGCTTCACAGCCCAGACCAGTTTCACCACACCACACCACACCAGGCCTGGACCACGATCACTGCAGGAAGTGAGAGCAGAAACGTACCATTTCATGTTTGCATGGTCCAAAAGATTGAGACAGAGGAGGCGGGGGTAAACAAGGTCCATGAGAAGATGTCAGATTGGACAGTTGACTGTTTATTTTTGGAGTGATCTTGAGAAGCTGCATCAACATATGGAGTAAAAACACAACAGCAGCTGCAGCAGTGGAGGTTATAGGCAAACACAGCTGCAGTCACCCTTTAGCTACGTCCACACTGCTACGTTTCATTTTGAAACGCATCTATTTAGCTACGTTTTCGCCTCCCGTCCACACGACCCCGCCGCTTCCGAGACCCGAAAAGAGACTTTCAGAAACTCTGCTGGACCAGTTTTATTTTCACAACTCTGGGGTTGTGTTTTATTTTGAAAACTCAGGGGTTGTGTTTTATTTTGAAATCTCTGGGGTTGTGTTTTATTTTGAAAACTCTGGGGTTGTGCTTTAGTTTGAAAACTCTACTGTTGTGTTTTATTTTGAAAACTCTGGCGTTATGTTTTATTTTGAAAACACTGAGGTCGTGTTTTATTTTGAAAACTCTGGAGTTGTATTTTATTTTGACAACTCTGGGGTTGTGTTGTAGTCTGGAGGGACAGAAACTGAGACCTTTGTAAATGATGAGGTCACACCCACGCACTCTCCTGATTGGCTCTCATCAGCCTGGACTACAAGTGGTGAATACAACATGATAATGAAGTGTTACTGACCTTGCTGTCTTTGCTAGCAGCTGTTGTTCACTTACATTCTCTGTTTTAATGCTACAACTGTCTTTCCTGTTCCTCCTTCAGAGGATTTACTGCAGAAGATACAATCTACTTCCTGTTTACACCGGCTCGCACATGCTCAGTGTAGGTGATCGCTCCTGTATGTGTGTTTTCAGGTGTGTTAGTCTGGGCGGAGATTGTTTACGTCATAGTCCAGGTGACAATGCAACCCCAGAGTTTTCAAAATAAAACAGGTCCAGCAGAGTCTCCAAAAGTTTTGGTGCTCGAAAACTTCGGACTCGTGTGGACGGGAGGTGAAAACTTAGCTAAAGACGCGTGTTTTCAAACAAATCTGGTCATGCAAGTAGCTGATCTATTGCTAGTTCATCTAACCGCCATGTTTGAAAAGCTACAACAGGCTGTTCCTGCAGAAAACATGCGAATGTGATGATTCTCTTCCAGTGGCCATGTGCTGTCTGAAAATACTACACACCCTAAACGCCTCATCAGTCTCTCTTAGTGTGTGGATCCTGCAGAGGGAACAAAGGGCCGGCTGAACAAAACACCTTAAGTTTTCTACTTAAGTCTGACACTTTTAATTTCTCAGGTTTAATTTCTCCTTAGCTGAGGGAGTTACTGTAGGGTGCTGCACAAAATCTCTTAAAAGGTTTTTCTTAGTTAAAGGGAAAAGTTAAGAAATTTACAGCAATGAGAGATTTTACAGCAGTAAAATTCTACTGTTTCCATGGAGACTGTTGATTAGCACCTGTGATACCTGTTTTCTCATCCTCCCGTTGTTTTTGTAGGAACTTCAGCAGGTGAACTTTGGTCACTAAGGTGTTTTGTGCAACAATTTAACTGACTCCTTCAGTTTAAGACTAAAATAAGGAGAAAACCTCAAATATTTAAGTGAGCATTTTAAGGAAATCTTAAGGAGAAGACCTAAGAGTGTTTGTGCAACTGTTTTTAATTTAAAGGAAACCTTAACTCTAACTAAGGAAAGTCTTAACCTAAGGTGTTTTGTGCAGCTGGCTCCTGATATTTAAAGGGAAAAAAGTAACATTTACACAAAAGAAGAAACGAGTTTGATTTGAATAAAGTCACGAGAAGAAGAGATGAGAGTGATTGGGAAACAATAAGGACAAAGAGATGTAAGTGAATCCATTGGAAGATGTCACACGTCAGCGGGATTATCAATAATCAGTCAATCATCAGTTAGGAAGAAGTGGGAACATATGACACCCTGCAGTCACCCTCTTCCGCGGCTGGTTACCCAACTACTCCCCTCA